AAATTTAAGTACCAACTTAAAATTTACCTCTATTCATAGTCGCATTTCAGACTTCTACTAAGTAGTTTCGACTTAGATTACGACATAGCAAAACGAGTGTGAAAATGTATCGATTTTTCTTTAGGATATTTTGGAAAAATTACATTTTTAATAAATAATGTCAAGTTTGATCATCGGCTTATGTAATTTTGATTTTAATTGTATGATTATGCAAAAGAATAAGGTATCATTTTCTTGTTAATTGTGTGAAATAGCCAGAACAACCGCAGTGATGTGAAGTCGATGTTTATCGAAAGCATGCTGCGAAACATACAAATAGTAGATATCTAAATGTTATGCACAAATTTACTTTAAAAGAACTAGCGTGAAACTGACTTATTATTTGAGAATTTATCTAAATTATTCCAATTATAAAATTGTGATGTAGCTTTATTCGAATTGTAATACGCATTTAATTTCATCTTCCGATTGAAATGGATAGATCTTTGTAAATTTTAATTGGAGATTATTCAATATTATCAAAATCACCCTCTACCAACTTAATTTTTACATATTTCGTCTGTTTTCCCTTAATTAGATAAAATACTTCTTCCTAGTTACGACTTAGTTGAAGCTGCAGCCGAAACTAAATTTTAAGTTGGTACTTAGCCACAAAAGTCGAAACTAAGGCGACTATGAATAGCTTTAGTTGTGACTTAGAATAGTTTCGACTTAGTTGAGTACTAAATATGACTATGAATGTGCGCCATTACATTCACACATACATATCGTCGCCTGGGTAAAAGATTGTCGTAAGCGCCATTTTGACGATTTTTAGTTCTAGATGCAGTTATATATTTTGAAATAAGGTCTTTCGATGGGTGTTATCAGTTTTTAGATATCTCCTTTAATTTCCGAGATACTGACTACAATTTTTTCGATAATTTAATAAAAATTTAATTAGTGATGCAGTCATATTGAACTAATCAATATCTTAGAAATGGTGTTCTCCATTTTTGTATATCTCCGTTTCCGAGATATTGAGTAAAAAGTGTCGTTAATTTAGTAGAAATTTTGATCTCATTTTGTCGTATTTCATACAAAGTGGCTGCCAAATTGTGGACTAATAACGCTTACGACAAAATTTTACTAGAGAAAATCCTTCGTTAACTCAAAACTAATTAACAATAAACAAAAGTAAAAAAATTGTATCACTAACTTTTTATAAACAATCAAAATAATGGCGCTACAAAAAAATTCGTTAACAAAAAAATTTAGATTTTCGGCAAACAAAAAAGTATTCCTGAGTTGTTTAATAAAGTGAACGGTATCGATGTAAATTGCGAAACACGTTTACACCCTTCTTTCAAAGATGGCAGCGATTCTACAACCCCGTGAGTCCGAAATCTATTTTTAACATATCTTTAACCTACTCAACTATACCCAAAACGATTTAAGGGCCTTACCAAAAATCGCCGGTTGGCCGGTGCTGTTTTTAACTTTACAGTCTAATTTACATATGTATATTGACGTGCAAATATTTCCAGTATTAAAAGAAAATAAGTAGAATTCAAACTTTACCGCCAAAATTCGATAGTTTTTTTTAGAAGTGTAGCCAGCAGTGCTGCCATTGTAACTCAAATATTTTCAGTATTCAAATATTAGATAACTCTAGTTTTATCAAAGTAAATCGATAGTTTTGTAAAAGTGTCAGTAGTTCCACCACTGAAACTCGATAATTAATTTCTTTCAAACAGATGTTTGGTTGTAAAAGTTACCAAAGTTAAATAAAAGTTACCAAGTTACCAAACGGTCTAAAAGTTACCAATTGCGGCAACCATGCATTCGCATTGTCAGATTTTTGAAATTCGTTTTGGCTCGACATTTTGCTATTTCATAATTCTGTCATTCTCATGTCATCCATCTTCCATTTCTTACCTTCCATTGCCGTTCGCATCGTCGAACGTGCCTGTCAAACACTGCCGCCATCATGCTTTACAGTTTGGCAGGCACGTCCGCTGTTAGAAAGATAATAGAAAAAAAGGTGCATAGGATTCCATACTTGTAAGTATATACGATGGTTTTTACTACGATAGAATCGCATAGATGTGTGCCATGGTACAATTATTACAGGTATTGTCTTCCCAGAGAGTTTTGCTTCATATCGAAATTCGTGCTCCCTTATTTTGATTTTGACGCATTTCAATGTAGATTTTTATACCCGAGCGCACTTGTGCACAAGGGTATTATAACTTTGTTCACATAACGGTTGTTTGTAACAGGCAAAACGAATCGAGATAGATATAGACAAATGTATACATAAATGATCAGAATGAAAAGAGAAATCGATTAAGCGGTGACTGTCTGTCCGTCCGTCCGTCCGTCTGTGCACACGATAACTCGAGTAAAAATTGAGCTATCTTAACGAAACTTGGTACGTGCACTTCTTTCTGGCATAGGACGGATGGTATTGAAAATGGGCAAAATCGGACAATAACCACGCCCACCTCCCATATAACGGTAATTTTCAGAAATACGAAAACTGCGATATTTTAGAAACTACTGAAGATTATTC